CGTAGGATTATTTATAGGAATGGGAAGATGTTGGACGACACGTATGTTCCTAGAAATCATATTGACTAGTTATATTGTTAGTGGATGCAAAGTCTACTCTGCTAACGGAAGTTGAGACAAAGGTTAAACTGCTCTCAAAAGCATAGGATTCCCCGCGTGCACGTTCAGGTGCATGCAACCGATAACGTTAAACTCTGTCAGTATGATATAGCATTTGCTTAATATGTTTTTGAGAAACTTTATTCCAACGACAAATTAAAGAATAATAATTCATTTTTTCTATAAGAACAAAAGAAAACATGTATAACATCTGACACTCAAGCGATGACACTGCTGTATTGTCTGATAACACAAACGGTTTGCGTGTGGGCAGAAGCTTATTTATCAAAATACTTTGAACGATCCGTTTTTTTTTTTAGTAGCATATCTATCCCAGTTTGATATTAGCCGTTGGCGAAAGGTGAAACATTCTTAAATATAGCTCCCTTATCATATGCGTATCTTCGTTTACAAATGCAATATCCCTAAAGCTCCTTCAACGACTAGCTTTCTACAGGTTACGATGGGCTTGTCTTTTTATGCGTGAATCGTGTTTATACGACGGCGGGTTGCACTCCTAAATACATGTCACGTAATAGACAACGTGTTCTCATTGCAGTCTCCGCTAAATTGGTATTTTTCTGCGGACTACTTTAACCGTAACTGAGCATAAAACGTTTGCATTGGAGAGATCATTCACTAATTTGGTCCTTTAGTGTTATTCTCTTTTCGTGGGAGTACACAGCAATGTTGTTGTTGCGGGCTTTCCACAGGTTTTTCACTGATGTATTGGCTGATATTGCCTCATGTTGACAATAAGGACAAAATTCGATCAATTACGTAAGAACAAAGATTTGATTTTCCCCCTAAGCCCATGTATTTTGATCGCTCTTTAAACTTGTCATCTTTGCAGAGATTTTCCTAGATGACCCGAAACAATGTGTTTTACAGAGCCTTTAATGTAAGTTGGAATAATCGACAAAGCCAGTCGATATACAGTACAAGGAATTACCCAAAGGCTTTCTTAGTTTATATTTGGTCCGTGTCCTAAGAGTTAACAAATCCGATATATATATATCGGAGTGACTAAATATAAAACGAAACTAAAAATGATTTTATCAAAGTAGCATAAATTAGTCACTAGGTAGAAAGTTAGTTACGATTTATCGCTTCAGACGCGCCGGAACCAAAATTTAACCCTATCAAAGACCAACCTTGTAATTATCATACAACTGTGAAATGACTGAATTATTACGAATTGCGATTGGCTGTTTAAACTTTACAAGGGAACTCAGTCATCAATGTAAGGCGTGAACATGAAGACGCTAAAGCCCTTCACGACAAACCTATGGTTTTAATATGAATATTACCGCTGTCATTGTAGTTGTCCACAAAGGCAAGTTACCTTCATCCAACTTGCAAAGTATCACAACAGATTATTTTGGCGAACATCGTAATTTGTATGTATACAAATATACTATGTTGGGTAAAGGCCTTTTTAAGAGTCATTAACTCATAATCATTGCGCTTATATATATATATATATATATATATATATATATATATATATATATATATATATTCGTGTTACTTGTCCAACATATTAGCCGATACACTATATACAATATTGGCAGCATCAGAAGAGATTCCCTGACATAAAGATGCTTTAACATATAATAATAATGGCAGTTAGTCTTTTCATTGCTTAAGGGCATCGATTGTGTATCCGAAAGAGGTGGGTGTTTCAGGGATAATCTTTGAAAGGCTCTTTAGAAACGTACAAGTGCGAGCACTAGTGACAAGTTAATAAAATTGACAGTTTATGCAAAACGATAGGTACGCGGCTAGCTTAAAACACATAGCAAAAAACATATCCTTAGCGTAATATATTGCTTGTGGTGATCACAGGCGGCCACTGTAGGACCTATCCTGCAGCGTGGACACATGAACGTTGGAGTCAAATATGTACGTGCTGTCTGACACATCTCGTGTGAAATAATTATGTATATATATAAGGTTACTTAGCAGTTATCTATATGAAGGCTCTTCCTTGTAGATTTCTGTTTATTTAGCTAAAATGGCGTTACTTTTTTCATTAGTTTACTGTCAACGAAATGCCTGTAGCTTAACCGCTTAAGATGTCGCTGCGCGCAATTTTTCAAATGCGTAGAACAGAATTATGCATTTGAACCGCCTAATTGTAGGATAACTAAGTTAGCCAGTTATTAATTGAGGTCTTAAATCTTTTTAAGGCAACATGGATACGGGAACAGTGAAATTCAAAAGCATCAGAAGCTGAATACCGCTGCGATCATACAAACTCTTATTTTAGAATTGTTTTAGTGAAATTAACGTACCAGAATTGAAAATGATTAAGAGTAGTAACAATAAGTTTGTCAGTTGAAATATGGAAACTTCCATTTACTAGAATTATGTTTTGCAATAATAATAATAATGAAATCACTTTTTAGATGGGCACTACAAGAGCTAAATAGGTAAATTTTTACAAATTATCCCTAGTTTTGATAGAGACATTTCACTACTTATATTTGCAAAAGATATATCCAGTTACCAATTTTGCCCACTATGCGCAAGGTGGCCACGATGAATTTGCTGATCTTTGCTGGCTTAAATTCACTACAGGCTTTGTAGTTGGCTTAACTTTAGTTAAAGGACTTAAGTTACTCGGTTCGGTACGACTTATGTACACCTTTATTTAATCCTATATATTGCTAACGGGATTCGGGAAGTCTTTACAGTTGAAGACTTAGCTAGCTACGTCACGAAGTCGACAAAAAAGATTTTGCAAAGTTTTTTTTTTATTTTGTGCTTGTCTGAACCCACAGTCTGAAGTAATACCCTATAGTAACGCTGGATGTGAGGCTTTTGTTTCAAACTATTCGTTGAAGGGGACATCGAGAGGTCAGAGGAGCTAACCCTCTCTGCAGTCACAAATATTTTTTTTTGTGGTACAATATATATCTCTGAAGATCAAGTGTCTTACCTGTTCAAATAATGGCTTACTTCAATATTCTTAACCAGAACCACTCTTTACGGCAGACTCTATGTTTGTCAGAGTGTTCAAACACTTACGTATTCGTTTCCGCAGTATATCCAATGGGTTAACTCACTTTTGTATTTGTGTACTCGTCCGAATACCCTGCGTCGCACACAACCATCCACTCCATTGTTCACATTGTACATTTTGCCAAGTGCTATCTGACAATATCTTTCATTAAATTAGCCATTTTAGGACACGGCTTCGAACGTTTCCAATGATAAATCTGTGGCATATGGCATTGGATAATGGCCTGCAAATTTCGATCAACACACCTTGTCTTTCTGAGATTCAATATCTAGATGCTGGCGGTAGATGTCTCGATACTCCGACACTCTAGAATTGTATCAGTTTTTCTTCGATTGTTAAACAGCTTTCCACACGACTCACTTTATCTACATTCACACATGTATATGCTGACTGCCGTTGGATAAACGGGCTTTGAAGAGATTCACCATCTAGCTAATAAGCTTGCAGGATGCTATTTCCAGCTCTGGCGCCAACATTTAATTGAATACACCGACCCTATTCGGAATCATTTCTGAATTATCCTGTGAAATTCTAATTCACCGTTTAGCTTTGATGTTTCTGTGTTTTCGTAAGCGGCAGCAGCAGTAACAGCAGCAGATAGTTGCTGGTAAACTTGTTTGCTAATTAGTACTTGTCGATATTCCTGTGCAACATCGGCAGATTTTCTCAAGATGGCCCCTGGCAGAAAGCAACCGCTAGGGTTCTGTCTGCAAGCAAGCCGAAAAGTAGGAAGAAGGGGCAAGTCTGTGCTGAGGCTGGCGTCTGTTCTATAACCAATGGACAGGCGAGCAAAACCTTTTGCCGCTGCTGCTGACGGGTACTGTTAGTATTGCGATGCTTCTCGTCGATAGACGGAGGTGGTTCGTGTACAACAGAGTCCGCCGCCGCAGCTGCCAAAACAGCCTGCTTCTCGGTACCGTCTAGACTACTGTGACCTCTAGTTTATTCATTCGATAGCGTCCGCGCCCAACGGCCCAGAGGACCATAAAGCAGAAAACCCAGAAGCCACTAAGCTACAGAAAGGTAACAAGCGTGCAAGTCAAAGCGACAGTCAGATGAAGATCAAAACATATGCGTATAGTGTGCACTCGCACACGAGGTGGACCTTCAGGTCCTTAGCCGGTGGAAGCTGCGCGATCAAATACCCAAGCAACAAAGCAACGAACGATACCGAACAACCAGCTGCTTTAGAGGTGAGAAGCTCTTCTCAAGCTGGAGGCCCTTCGGAAGCTTGCCATACGCTGTCTATCGGTCGGCCGTTGTCCTGCTGTGGTAAGCACGGTGGCCAGTCTTCAACTAGGACACTGACCGCCACAAACAGGCAATTTGTGGGCCGGGCTCAGAGCACATTGGTTTTGGTAGACGGGTTCTTCCTTCTGCCGCTCGTCATTGCCGTTGCTCACTTAGATTGTCACCCTGGCTGGAAGAACGATCTTCCTCGAGCACGCCGATCTTCGAGCTTATGTTTGTGCGTAACTTTATGCATTTGTTCGGGTTACTCTCTACTTGTGTGTGTGTGCGAGCGGCCGAGTGTTTGTTGGATGTAGTAGTAACACACGGTAGCTCTGGCAGGCTAAATGTGAGATTAAGACAGTGCTGGCTGAGCTTACTCCGCCCGTTTCTTTCCTTGTGCGCGATTGATTGCTTTGGAAGCGGCGATGGGGGGATAGGTTTGTGTGTTAGCCACCGCTTAATCACCCGTTGGGTAGAAGTATTATATATATATATATGATATCCTTTGTGAAATGGTTTCTGACCGCTACTTGAGTAATAGCAGCTGGTTTTGTATCGGCAACAGCTGCGGCGGCATTTCTGTCATAACTCCTGTTCAGTAACCGTATCTTTGAACAAGTAGAGGATGACCTAGCTGCCTATATCCATTTTGTCTCAGTAATGGAAACGTAGCCAGCCCAGGCGTCGGTTAAGATCTAAAGTGGACGTAATCTCTACGTACTTATAATAATGCGAGAGTGCTGATGGGAGTCTTCGTAATAACTCTTTTGTTATTGGTTCGATGTGTGGCCTTCCTACGTAGACGAACGAGCGAAGTTCAAGCAAACAACAACAACAACAGGTAATTACATGTCTCGTTTAACCTGATTGAGGAATGGTTGTCGATCATTCTGTACATTATTTTAGTTAAAAATCTGAGCAAAGAATTTTGTATCATCTTTCTGGGATAGGATTTTCAGTAACATGGACAGTCCGTAAAAGCGCCATCAGACAACCACACAAGTGCTTCGCAGGCCCCTTTCGCTTATATTGTTCGTTTGTTTAAGCTGGTTGTTGGTCAGTATCACCGTTGTTTTAATGCGCTCAGTTTTCCTCGAAAAGTTTTCGTTTCTCAATTGTGAGAAAGTTTTCTATGCCGTCGAAACTGCCCTGCTAATTCTCAAGTAAACCCGGTCATCAGGAGCTCATTTGAAATTTGTTCATGTTTGTTTGCTGCAGTAATGCTACGCTATATTGGCAAATGGGCATATCCTTTCCGCGGTACATTTGGGGTGTGTATTCACAGCTTAAACCGCAAAGTTCTAGATAGTCGTGTCCGAGACAGTTCGGGTCCGAAAAGTTAGTGTAGCATAGCTTTGATGGCGGCTCACTTGGCGCCGATAAATGACGCGGTGCCTCCAAGAATATTAGAAAAAAACTTATTTGAAATTTTATTTCTGGCGAGCGTACGTCATCAGTATCTTTACCCAGTCACATTAGGATTCGCAGTACTCCCGAACAAAAGAAGATGTTCTAGATGGAGTTTCTGAGGCGACTTCTACAGACATTCACTTCTAAGATGAATTCCCAATCCCGCTAGTTGATGCATTTACCGTGCAGCGTTCCATTCGGATGACTGAATCCGCTTCATTAAGAACATTCTCGCGTACGAAAAAAACTCTAGTCTGGCTCCCGCTGACGTAGTGCGTCCTGGAGGTTTGTTAGTCCTAGAGAGCTTGTATTAGTCTACATAGTTCAGATTAACTCTGCAAAGCCTTTATCAGCTGAAGTCGACGTCGACTGGCAGGCCCCACGTCAGATGGCAAACTTTTACATGCTTGTATGTGCTCTATATTTGAAGATTTGTACATATGTTCTAAATGTAGAGGACGGGCATTTGTTGCAATAATGGTGAAGGGCGAATAAAAGAACAGATGGTATTATCGAAACAACATACAGATCGATCATTTTGTCTCTAGGCAAAATAAGTAAAACTGTACCAACTACACACAGGTAAAATACCTATTCTTAAATCATGCTCCGTTGTAGTACTAATACGTATTTTTTGCGCTCCTGTTGCGCGTACTGGTCGATTCGATGCTCGATTATGCAAAAAAATTAGGCCGTAACTCGACCGTTTTTCAGTGCGCCCTCTCTTTCTACCACACCTCTGATTGCTTATTTCTATACTCGTGCGCTATTCAAAAATGCGCTCTCTCTCCTGTTCTATAAGTTTGTTATAAGATCATTGTGCAGCGACCTTCATGCCGCGCTCAGGCTTCAAAGATGAAAGACAACAAATTAATTCATGACGTCTATTCTATTTCGCCCTTGCCGAGATTCAGAAAAGAGCCGAAAATGTTTGTGCCGTGTACAACAAGCAATCTATGACTGAGACAGGTATTCCAACAGGCTTGTTAAGTTCAAAAGTACGATCTTGGATTTGCTGAACATGCTGGGTGTGTCCGAAGTCCATAACGGCTCCAATGATGAATAATCAGCTATTTAGCCTAAAAGATAGGGTGCTCTTACTAGCCCATTATCGAAGATTTTGAATACGCGAAATTTTGTCAAAGGGATGGAAGCTAAGTACCGCACAGTCTGCGCAAAAGGCACATGAAAACATGACTTCCCACTGGTTTTCAACATCTTACTTAACACCGGGTAAACCGCGGCCTCAATGACAGAATTGCCATCGTGGACAGGAAATGGTATCTCCGTGTCGATATAAAACAGCAACGAACGAATAGCCCCGAAAGGTGCGCCTAGAGCTCGATAGATGAGGCAAAGTCATCATTCTTCACGACGTCGCCAGACAAGGCAGCCCTGCAAGAGCTTACACAAAAGGTTTTTCTGCATTTACCATATTGTCCAGACAGAGATTCTTGCGACTAACCATTTTTTCCAGTCGCTGTATAAATGCCTGGCTGGACAAGTGCCTCAACGTCAGGTCGTAAAATTCTTGGAAAAAAGAAGTAAATTAATTTATTGAGATTTAAGAAAAGGTAGCGGGGAATATTTAGTGAATTAATATATTGCTAGAATTTTATAAAGGGCGGTTTTCTCTCACATTACATTTGAATATATTTAGATGCTTCATTGTCAGATTCCCTACCCTTTCAATTTGATTATCTGAAGATTTAGTTGGTGCCAATCGTATGGTTGCTTTAGCTAGCCAGCCAGGTTGTCCGAGCAGAGCAAATAAATTAATAATTTATTGTTATTACAGAGATTGCCATTTATACTGGAAGCATCTTAAACAATTACGTCTATGTGATATCGATCAAAAACTGTTGTCGGTCTCTTCAACTCACATAGTACCCTCCAATTGAGTTTAGGAAACTACAGGAATCGACAAAGAAAGCCATATAGGGAAAATCTAGAAAGAAACAAGCTTAAAACCCCCCAAGAAATTTCTTATCACTCATAGCCCTGCCGAGACCTGTTAAGATAACACATTTAAATAGGAAATTCCAATCTCACAGGGTGGAAACAAACGGCGTACCTTAACATGGCCGAAGTTATCAAACCAATTCAAGTTAGCCGTACTGTTAATAATGAGCTTGACAAAATACGCCAAAAAATATAAATGCAATAAGCAAAAAAGTGGGGAAAACGTAATTTGATGGATACTGCAGGGCTCACTGGAAAGGATGAATCAAATCAATCAAAAAATGGCCAATCGACTCTATATTTATGGATTAAATCGCTTTGATTCGATTTTCGTTACAATAAGCGCTTTCATTACCTAGATCGTAAGCTTAGAATAACAAAGAAAGAACTGGTGCAAAGTTTGAGACGGGACCTTGAGAGAGCGTTATCGGCCTGTGTTATTTTCTACCCAGGAAAGAACGTTTATAAAACTTGTTTCAGGCTAAGATAATATAAATTAATTAGTTAGATTCGAGTAAATCCTCACGATAGAATCCCAGTATCTAGCTGGTCCGCAAGACAGATTCCTGCAGCAACGAACCTACCGATGAACCGCCCTATCTGGTCCTGAACATGCGTTTTTCCTACACCACGTGTTTATTTCGACCTAACTATCACGAAAACGAGCCAGGTCCAGGCACTGACATGCACAGAAAACGTTCTGAGTCTAATTTGCGAGAAGAACATCAAGAACTACAGATAATGCATCCATGATCTTTTACACAACTGAAAAAACTTGAATCGTCACATGTATTTTGGGTCTCGATATCTGGCCGCGATGCCATGTTATTTTTGTAAGTATTATTGTATACTGTGCGCTGACATACCGTATGGCGCGAACATTAAATGCATCGGTTATTTACTCTCAACAAAGGCAAATCCGATTTAAAGAAAAAACTATTCAGACAATAATCTCTATACAAATAGATATTTACTGAAGCACGCCCAGCAAAACAAAAATAAACATGTAAACTTTTTATTTATCTGATTAGTAAGTAGTATCGTTTAATAAATGTTTATATCAGTACGGCGATCTCGTCTTCCTGCCGCATGCCCTCTACGCTAGAAAACGGGGATTAAGGATTTCTTGAGGTTCGACGGCGCTGTACAACTTCCGTATAGTATCGCATAATGGCTAATATGGGTACCCCTCTTAATAGGGAGAACAAATGAGGGGAAGGTTAGTTTATCTTCGCACATTTCGACAAATTTAATTCTGCACAAAGAGTACCTCAAAAACTCTTATTATTTCATTAAAAATATAAACCTCCGTTGAATTATTTTGAGAGGGAATGGTTGAACTTCTTTCTTTTCAAACGATCCTCAAAGCGCAAGGTTTAGCGCTGTCGTCATCCGTTCGCTAACGTGTGCAAATGGCTGCGCACCTCCGTGTGCAAAACGCAGTGTGCAATTCGAGTCTCTAAATGCAGGTGTAC